TCATTACTAATAACAATGATAATAAAATTTAAAAAATGGGGCTTGGTCTGTCACAGATATGAAAAATGACAATATGTGGCTTGTGAGTATGACATGCTTTGAACACTGTATTGGCAGTTTCCAACCTGAAACAAATCTGGGAGCCTCAACTAAAAAAGGCTGGAGCAAAGGTAACTTGGTGTCACAAGTCTGACGTGTAATTTTTAAGGTTCTAAATACATAAGAATTTAACTCCCACTGGGGCAGTATTGAACAGGTTTCATATTTGCCTAATTAAGGTAATTATGACCATTAGACCACTAAGCTACCTAGAAATGGTGCTATAGCAGGATGTTCCAGAAGAACTTTCAGGCCAGAGGTGGATGATACCTTAATTAATGTTTTTTATGCAATGAAGTGTTCAGGTACCCTGGCACAAAATTATGTGAGTTGATTCTGCTTCGGAGAAATAACGTAAGACGGTGATTGTTTAGGAGGTGAGTCAAATGAAGACCCATCCACATCCATCATTGTTCCGAGCAAATGGTAAACGTCTTGGCAAGGACAGTATCGTCTCTTGAGAAAGCATCAGCTGGAAAATGGGCAGGGGTGCTGGCCGGGACACTGCCCGGCACCAGGATGCCAACTGTGTGTTCCTGGACCAAACTGGCAGCAGAGACCCTGGAGGGTGTCATCCTGAATCTGTGCATGTAAGTTTTCAAACACAGCTTTATCATGTTATTTTAGCAATGCATAAATATAGAAAGCAGGTAGACCAGTTTATAATTTCACACTTTAAGCTTTTTTTAGTTAGAAGAAACAGGTAAAGACGGAAATAAAGGAAAACAAGTCTTTTTAGAAATTTACAATCATTTTTGTTTTCTTATTCAATCTTGCTGCCACATTTTACAGAAGAGGAATTTGAGACTCAGGGAGGGTAATTAACAGGATTAGATGGGACATGAACTTTATTCTAAATGCCATGCTCTTTGAACTCTGCCATCACAGCCTTTGCAAGTCTCCCAGAGCAGAAACTTCAGGAGAAAGCTGGCCCTTTGTGCAATAAGAGGGCATGAAGAGGCACCTCTCCTAGCTTTTCCCAAAGGAAGGAGGCTTTCTGCGGCTTGATGAGAAGTTAGGACTGGTCTTGCGACTTGCTTTATTTGGAAAAGGGCTAAACAGAGAACCTAAAGGTTGGGCTCCTTCATTGGAAGTCTGTCATCAGGCACCATGTGGCACTCCGCAGCCTCCGGGACATGAACCTGATGACTTCTCTGCATACACTGGAGTAGCTGCCCTTTCCTTCTTTTCCACGGTGACCTCTCTAACTGCCACACCTGCCCTGGCTTTCAGACTGCGTTTTCCTTCTTCTCTTTAGAGTTTACCAGTTTATATCAGCCTGCTGGTGAGATTTCAGGGAACGTTGAAGAGAGTGGAATTAGATGGGGGAAAAAAATCACCAATGCAAATACTGTCATTTTAAAAGTTTCTCTCATGTTTGTTGTCTTGCCTCTTTATTTGTGTCATTTTTACTGAAAATTGAAATACACCTCTTTTTGAAAATGCTTTAATAGTAACTCTCAGCTGGTGTGTGCTGATGCAAAGAAGAGGAAACCAGGCTTTTTCATCTCCAACTTCTTTGTCACACTAGAAAGCTTTGTTTGGTTTCCAAGATCACAGGCCTGCATGCTCACCTTTGAGGACAGAGGGTTCGTGCTTACTCTTTCTAGATTTCACAGCAAATTACCCTACAGTGAAGGGTAGACTGAGGCCAAAACAGCTATGGGAAGGGTGAAAATTAGAGGAAAACACTACGA